CCCAGGGGACCACTCCCTTGAAGTGGTTAGTAACACTGAGTCGGGGTTGTCAGCCTGCTTGGAGCCTTGTGACTCTAGTTAAGTTCCTCGGCTTTCTTGGTCTCAGTTTCCCCATCCGGAACATGCTGGTGGTAATAATTACATCCCAAAAAAAACAACACAAAAACAAAAGAACACCGGGGAGGAGGGATGACGTCTAAGGGGCACAGGGCCTAGGTTTCCCAGGAGTACTCCTCCTCTTCTCTTCCTCCCAGCTGCTGGCAGAGCAGGTGACTTTCCATCATCCACAGAGCAGACAAAGAAACAAGGAACCCAGGTGGCGAAGTGATAGCAGCAGCTGCCAGCCCCCAAAGCCACAAGAGGGCTCCACTGCCTGGGCGATGACTGATCACCATCAGCAGGAGGCCGGGGTCCCTCTGCACAGGGTGCCCGTTCTTCCCCAGCCCCTCCCTGGGTGGTGCCTCCTTCAGCCCAGTTCCCAGCACCAGCCTGGAGTACAGGACATGGCCGAGAAGGGCAGGCCTTGGGGCCGGGAAGGGCATGGCCACTTCTCCCCATCTCTGCATCAGGAGGAAGATGGGGACAGCAGCCCTGACTGCTGCAGCACCGTCCCTCTTGGGGAGCTGCAGGTGCCTGAGGTTTGCAGGCACGAGGCCCGGGGTGCTGCCAGCTGTGCTGCTGCAGTGACTGACAGGAGGGCTGCAGCCAGCAAGGCTCTGCACGCTTCCCGAGTGGTCTCAGCAGGGCACCTCCAACCCAAAACCTTCCCAAAGCTAGCACAAGGGAGAGTGTGGTCACTCGTGCACTGTGCTCCGAGACCAGGTCACGCAGGGTTTCCATCAGGCCGAGCACAAGGTTCGGAAAATCTGTCCCTCCCCACCCAGGATGGCCACAGAGGCCTGGATTTCTGCCATCAACATGGGGGGTGGGGTGGTCCAAGGGGCCTCTTCCTCTACAGGGGGGAGCTAGACGGGCACAGTTGTGTCTGATCCCCTCCCTTCCTGGGTCTTGGCTCTGAGCTGGCCTCTCCAGATGCCCTTGGAGGCAAGAAGGCCCCCGGGGGACTCTGCCGCCAGCTCAGGCCTGGCGAGTAAGTGTCTGAGGAACACGGACTCCCTGGCAGGCTGTGCTGAGCCCCTGCACCTGTGTGGGTATTGGTGGGAAAGCTCGGGCCTGGGCCAAGCACGGCCTGCCCAGCCCCTGATAAACAGGGGACCCGTCACCAGGCACAGTGGCACCAGAGCATGGCTGCTCAGCCAGGCCCCACATTGCCCAAGAAGCGCTGAGGAAAGACGTGCTCTAAGGCCCACCCTCAAGAAGCCTTCATGAGTGGGTGCGGGGGGCTGAGGAACCAGCATGCACAGCTCCCCAGGGCGATTGTGACAGGCACCACACTCAGGAACAATGAGTGGTCACCAGATGTGCCCAGCTGAGAGCCTGGGTCTCAGCAATGCAACTCACTGGCTTCTCAGCTCCTCTAACACGGAACACGGCCCACTGGCCTTGGTACACACCCTCCCCTCCCGCGGGTGTCAGCGGTGGCCTGCCCAACCAGGGTGACCATACCTAGCTCGCTGCCTGGGAGACACCACACCTGGACAGCTGTCCAAGTGACAGGGCATGGTCCGGCCCTCGCCCTGGTGCTACACAGCACCTGTGGCCACCAGGCTACAAGGAATGGAGAGGATTTTCCGGCGGGCACTCTGAGCCTCAGTTTCCTCCCTTGCACCGCGGGGAGGGTAACGGTGGCAGCTGCTCGCTGGGTGGCTGTGGGCAGCTCATGAAGCATTGGTGGGTGGTGGCCACAGCAGGCTGAGTCCCTAGCTTTCCACCTGGGTGAGTTCATCTCATTACCCTTGGAGGTGGAAACAATGATTAAACCCACTTCCCAGGTGAGGGACATTCGGTGACTCACCCTGGGCCACGTGAGCCAGTGGGGCAGGCAGGACAGAGAGGACACTGGACCCTGAGGTCAAGCTGGAAGGTCTAGCCAGTGTCCACAAGTCCAGGGCAGCAGGTACTCACAAGAGGAGAAAACAGTTCACCTTCGCTTCATTACTTTATCTCACCCCCTACACACTCCACAGGGCTTTTAAGGAAAAAAGCTCAGGTGACTTTATTGCCAGATAAGTTTAGAATTCTTCTGTGCAACATTACCCACCTCCCAGAGGTTCATAAAGGACATAGGCAAAATAAAGGCTCTGAGAAGTTCTGTGGAGAATCGTGTTTATCCAACTAGCATTCCTCACACTTAACTGACCCTGAAACCCTTCATTTGTCCCTGGGCTACCTACTGACATTTCAGGAAGCACAGTTTGAGAAAACTGGTATAGAGCAGACCTGTAAATAATATTTCTGAGAGCAATACATTATGTTCAGCTTGGCAGACCACAGGGTCTCTGCTTACAGTTACCCAAGTTTGTTGTTAAAGCACAAAAGTCATCTGAGATAATACAGAAGAAAATGAGTGCGGCTATGTGCAACAAAATATCATTTATGGACAATAAAATGTGAATTTCACACCATTTTACACGTCACCAAGAATTCTTCCTCTTTGGATTTTTCTCAGTCATTTAAAATTTGAAAACTTTGTCACAAGAGAGAAAAGGCAGGCTGCAGGCCGAAGGTGGTCATCTGGGTTTAGTCTGCCAATCCCTGGTATAGAGCCATGGAAAAATCTAGTGCTTTCTACAATTTTCTTGAAGTCTGAGGAGCAAGGGAAGCAGGTGGAAGATGGGAGATGAGAAGGTGGAGAGACCTTTATCATAAAGGAGGAGGATCTGGAGACCAGAGGGAAGTTTGGCCCTCAACTCTGCGGTCCCTCCCCATAGGCTCCAGCAGTGAGCTTTCTGAAATCCAAGCAGAGGAGATCTTCTGGAGGCTCAAGGTGGAAGGGTGGTGAGAGGGACCTTTCCTCACCATGCCTCGGAAACAGGAAAACTGTTCCTGCTCCCCACATGCTACAGCCATTCCCTGAGACACACAGAGATGCCAGAACAGGATTGTCACCGAATTACCCCCAAGTTGCTGACAATTCTTTCCCCACCTCTAGGCCAGAGAGTGGCCTCTGATAGGAAGAAAAAGAGGCAAAGCCCAAGAACTATAAAGGAAAAGGTGATCAAATTCAACTGCTTTGTTAGAATCCATTTGGCAAAATCCAGGATAACCAAAAGAAAAAGAAAACTCAAAACTGGGAAAACATTTGCTGCTCAAATTGCAAAGAGTCAAAATGGAAAAGAAAAAGACCTATGACCTATCAGAGCAATGGGCAGCGAGCAGGGACAGAGAGCAGCCAGGGAAGACACTGCAGATGGCACATGTGGAAAAAGTGTTCCCTCACACAGGAGAGAGAGAAGAGCGAAGTCACGTGCCAGATGCCATCTGTCCTCAAGTGGGTGGATCAGCAAGGACGGACAGGTTTGAGAACCTGAACTGGTGAGGAAGAGGAAACAGGAGCCCTTACAGCTACTGTGGACAATGTCACTGTCAGGAATTTATGCCAGAGCTATGCTAACTCAACTGAAGATGACCCTGCATGAGCTTTTCTCCCCCAGACCTGACTGTAAGAGGAAAAGACATGCCAGGTGCAATAATATTGACAATAACTTATTTATTCAGGGGTGCACCACAGTCAGGTCATATCTTAAGGCCTCATTACTCAAAGCTTGGTCCGGGCACCACAGGCATCAGCAGCCCCCAAAGGCCATCTGGAAAGGCAGGCTCCCCCCTCCATCAGAATTTCTATTTTAATAAGATGGGGGGGGGCTTCTATACCCATTAAGTCGCTATTTTAAAAACCCTTCCCATATTAACTCAAGACAACCCAGGAGCCCAGAAGTGTGTTGGAGACACAGATGCCAAGATTGAAGGTTAGGGAAGTTGCCTCGAGTCATATGGTAAGGGAGGAACAGCACCTCTATACTATTACTCGGGCACAAAACAGACTAGGCTCGTTAATCATAGGTAGGACCAGTGGGCAAGATAAATTGTTTGACGAAGAACACTGAACATTCTGTCCCATCATTTGTGGGAGAAGAATAAAATGACAGCAGAATCTCTGAAACGGTACCTAATAACAGGAAAAACAGGAGTTGACTCTGGGAAGTGGAACTCAACAGCTGCGGGAAGGAAGTCAGAAGGACACTATTTACCGTTACACATTTCCACAATGTCTATGAAGCCAGGGGCATGTATTTCCTATTCCAAAATAAGTGGGGGAAAAAAATCTTTTTCTTCTTAAAAAGAAAGCAGCTACACAACCAGAAACCACACCCATTTGTTACAAATACAAGTTGGGGGAAAGGGAATATTGGCATAGGCCACTCCTCATTCCCCACTCAGCTTCCTGTCTGTCCCTCTCAAAGGAAGTAGATTTGGGGAGAGCCAAATAAGAGCAGATTCTCCAAGAATTTAGAACTCAGAACCACTGACAGGGAAGAGACTAATGTGGTTAAACCAGCATAGTGATCCTCATCCAGGAACAGTTTTGGTGAAGACACCTTTGGGAATTGCACCTAGAGGATGTGATTGGTGCCTAGTAGGTAAGAGGCCAAAGATGCCGAACAGGCTCCAGTGCTCCAGGAGGCCCAGAATGCCATGCGTTGGGAGGCCGTGAAGCCTGTGCTGGCACTTGCCACACAGGTGCTGTGTAAGCTACCAGCTCAGGGCTTGAGTCCCGGGGAGGTTCTGACAGCAGGGCTGCGCTGGCTGAGACTCTGTACTTCTAAGTGAGTAAGACTCTGCACCTGCTGATGTCGAGCCACTCTTGGAGCAGCAAAGCCTTACTCAGGCCAGCTGTGGCCAAGCTCACACGCCTCTCATGCAAGGGGAAGGACAGAGGTTGCTTTGGGTTTGGATCAAAGGGCAGGGTGCCGAGTCCTAGTCGGGAGGAGGCAGGAAAGCCTGGTCTGGAGGGAAACAAACACACGCACTGCTCAGGATTCCTGAAAGTCCAAGAGCACAGGCTGCAGAGGTAGTGGTGGCAGTGGCCGGGCACTCACCATCCAGAGTCTCCACTGAAAGCTGCAGGCCCAGGTTGTGCCGAGGGTTGACCACCCAGTGGTTGCTCGTGGCCGTGATGTCGAACACCAGCCAGCCCTCCTCGGAGGCCCAGAGGGTGCGGCTGTCGAGTAGAAAGAGGTCGGACTCCCTGTGAGAGAGGAGGAGACAGAGACACAGGCTCTGGGTTAGTTGGATCACAGCGCAGTCGCTCCAGCAGCAAGCTGCTTACCAAAGAGGGAAGCCTTGTGAGGCGGAGGAGGCAGAACGGGGCCGGCCAGTCCTCCAAAAGCAAGTTCATCAGGCACAAAGACCCCTCACAGCTGTGGCAGGGGAAGGAGGCACAGAAGAGTCGTAGAGACACACATGGGGAACAGGGCGCTGCTACAAGGCCACCTTGCCCTACAGTTGCCAGGGAGATCCCAGCGAGACAGAGCACAGACGGGCAGGAATCATTCAGCTTGCGTGTCTCTGAGAGTCAGGAAGCAGGGCTGACTCTGCCTGGATCGGGCACTGTGCGGCTGGCACTGCTCCGAGGGCTCCTCACACGTCAGCACTCGCTTCTCACCACCCTAAGTTGTGGGGCATCATCTCCACCTGGAGCACGGCAGGATCAGGACTTGCCCAAGGTCATTTAGCCGGGAAGTTGCCAGGCTGGGGTTTGTGCAGAAAACCTTCATCTTCACACCACGTGGCTTCATCAAGAACCTAGCGTGTGGCAGGAACTGCGCTGCGGGCAGACGTTAATAGAGAAGAGCTGTCAATTCCTTCTTCACTTTTTGCAAAATCGAGTGGCAAAATGGCAAAACCATAACTCATCCTGTGGGTGCTGGAGGATGGGTGGGTAGATGGACGGAGGGAGGGAGGGAGGAAGGGAACATCAGTGGGTGGACTCTGGCACACAAAGGCTTTATAGTATTTCCTATGCACTTCTAGTTATAAGGACTGTTTCAATAAATTGAATCTTTTAATAATCAGTTAAAACACTGGAGCCCCTGTGTTGTGCAGGGTACCGGGGTGCAGGTATACTGAGGAACACTACCAAACGGGCCAGTCTCTGTCACCCCCGGAGTCACCTAAATTTCCCGAGAATCAAGGTGAGTTCTGTCCTTACACATAAACATGTCAGATGTGCCAACTATTTACTGAGCACATACACTGGGCCAGCCTCTGAAAATCCTGACAGCACCGTGTCCCCAAGTCCTTAAAACAACTTTGCAAGGCAGACAGTACTGCTGGCACCGCTAAGCAGATCTCAGATCGAGGCTCAGGAGGCAAAGATTTTTGCCCAGGATCACACCACTGGGACAGGGTCCAGGAAGGTGGAACCCAGCAGGGCTGCCTGCAAGCCCAAGCCTGCAGCTGCACACGAAGACAGTCCTCCCGGACACAACCCTGGCTCAGGGTGGAGCTGTCCCGTCTCACAGTCTGCAGAGTCACAGTCTCGTTGCCACGTCCCACTAAGCTACGGGTGGGCCACGGGGCAATAGCCCTTCAGACAAGGTCCACATCTCCAGTTGGCCCCGGTCCCTCTTCTTACTGAATTACTGGTGACCACCCTCATTCGCCCTCCCAGTCTGGCCCCGAGAGTCTGGCCCGTATTCTTCTGCTTGCCTCAGTGTGTCAGACATTTACCGGGCCCATCGGCACGTACAATGTGGACAGAAACAGGGAATGCTGGCCAGCAACTCTGATTTAACTCAGAACCCACTGGGATGTGATGGGGGATTACGAAGCCACTCAGGGAAGCCCACACAGGGGTGGGGGACCAGGCTTGGAGGCAGGGTGCCGAGGCAGGTGTGAGAGTGTGGGTTGGCCTCAGCAAGCACAATGGCAGAAGGGGTGAGTGTGAGCTGTCCCCTTTGTGTCCCAGTCTGGAGACAAAGGATCCAGGTGGCCCAGCCAAGTCACACAGCTGGCTTTGGCAGATGCAAAGGAGGGAAGTGCACAGAAATGGACAGCATCACCAGGACTATGAGGAGAGGCAAGGGTCACTCCTACCCCACCTACCCTAAAGGACGCTTTGAAAGCATAGTGGACCCTCAACAACTGGCCTGACATACAAACAACTTGGGTTACGACCATAATTAGTTTTAACTTATGAATAAAGTCTTGAGTCACGACCCGAATGCCAGCTGCTTGTGCTTCCAGATGGTCTCAGATGCAGATTTAACCCTTAAAGAGTTCTGCAAGGACCACTGCAACACCCTTTCCAGGTGGGGTTCATTGAGAAATCCTGGACCAGTGTCTAAGGACACTGAGATCTGCCGGTGTACAGCAGAGAGACTTTGAAGGCTGTCAGAGGGGCCTGAGCCTTCAATGATAAACCTGAGTTACACCCAGCCCTCGGGAATGAATTGAGTTCGTAAGTCAAGGCTCCACTGTATTATGATACAGGCCCCAGAACCCAATTAAAAAGATGTTAAATTATATCACGGTTTGGGTCTGAATGTGATCCTCTCAAATTTTCTGCTGCAACTTAATCCAGGTGGGATCTTTCAGGGGTCCATGAGTGCTTGACCCTCACAAATGGAGTGGCCCTGATAGAATCTTGAGGGAGGCACTATCTTGGATCAGAACAACCCTTCGTAGACACTGACTCTGCTGAGGTCTTGGTCTTGGACCTCCCAGACTCCAGAACTATGAGCCACAAATTTCCATTCTTTATATATTACCCAGTCTCAGGTAATTTTGTGGTAGCAGCACAGACTAGGACAAATCGTGCAGTATGTGTGTTCATACTACGTGAATAGCCACCATCCAAGACAACACACCATTCCCTCATCAGCCAGTCCAAAGTGCCCCCTGATCTGTCACTGGTTGGTTCATTCTACTCTGTCAACAGAGAGATTATGGGAGCAAGGAAGTCCCATTAGAGCCACATAAGGCTTGACAGACTCTAAGTTTGACTCATATCTAAAGTAAGTTAAAATAGTCTTTCACAACCCTTTCACTCTCTCCATGTCATTTTAGAGATCATTTCAGAGCTTACTCAGGGTACGTCCACGCTGCTTTAAATGTACAAACCAGAATTTCCTGCTGTCTTCATCTCCAATCGGCCCTGATGACTCTCCAGGCCCGGGAGAGCTCCCAAGATTGCCAATGAACCATTAGCCACTCTGGACAATTAACAGATGGAGCAGAAACAACACTCAAGTAAAAACTTTTCCTGAGCAGGGCTCCCAGAGCCCCTCCAGGAAACATCCGCACCTCAGCACAGAAGTCACAAACCTGGGTGATGATGCTGTGGGAAAATTGTTATTTGCAGGAAAATGTGACCAGATATGCAGACACACCTCCCGGACAGGGAGCAATGAATGGTAACCCAAAGAACACAATTAGGCCTTACCCAAAGGACGCCCTGCCATTCTCTAATTACCGGCCAGGCCAACAGGGCCAGATGTTACAGGCCAGCTTTGACTCATCCCTGAGTCAATGGGGAGGTGGTGGCTCCCTGCCCCCAAGTCATACTGCGCAGTTTGTCCCAGGCACAGACAGGAGAGCCACACCTTTCTCTGAAGGCAGAGGAGAGGGCACACTTGCTGGGGTGACTCTGCTTCTGGACAGCCTGCCTGTTAATTCCTCAGCAGCCAGGTCCAGCCTGAGCCAGGGTTGGAATTTCCAGTCACCACCTGGAGCATCACAAAAGAGCACTGATCTCACAGCCAAGAGAGCACTAAATGGGCCCTTTGTGACTTGTGATGACTTTATTTACCTTGAACACAATTGCCTTCCTGACCCAGTCCAGATGAGAGTGGGAGGTGAGGGAGGCTCAGGGCCCCAAGGAACCAGAATGTTTTCCTTCACCTTTGCCTCTCTTGCAAACTTAGGTGCTTTCCAAGCGCCACTTGCTGAATCTACCCAGCTGCCCTGGGCTGTGCAGTGACAATCCTTCCCACTCTACAGGTGAGGAAAGTGATGGTCAATGAGGTGACACTGATTATCCACAGCAACCTTACACAGGCAGAACCAGGGACAGCACAGGAAATCTGACTCAAGAACTTCAGACATAAGCCCCTCATCAGGGGACAAGAGAGACACAGGGAACTAGCAGGTCCTCCACAGTGCATCATGACACCACAGCCTGTGAAGCTGTAGAGAAAAGGCCAGATGGGGACAAGATCCAGGTGGTGGGGAGTGGAGAAGGTCAAGCCCATTCCTCCTGAGCCTCAGTTTCTCCTGTAAATTGGCAGCAATGCCATCTTGGAGCCAAGTGAAGACTGACCTGGCAAAAACTCTTAGGATTCCCTGGAGAATCCTGGAGTCTCTGCCAGTGCTGGTATTATTCCATGCTGACTGCAGGAAATGCTGGAGGAAGACCTAGTATGTCATGGTCCCGGAGGTTATGTGACCTGCCCGAGACCCTCCAATCAACAGACCACAGAGCCACTCAAGGACTGATCAACTTTGACTCAAACTCAGAGACAAGTGTGCAAGATGTTAGCAGTTGTGCAAGACCTTATGCACAGTCATTCCTCTGTCTGCACCATGTGCAGTTCTATACAGCTGTGGAGTTTGTTCCTCATCTCTGAAGCCTGAACTGACTGTGTGGCCTGCTGTGGAAATGACGTCCTGCCAGATCCAGGGCTAGGACTCGAGAGGTCTAGCAGTTTCTGGTTCTGCCCTTCTGGAAAGCGAGCCACTGAGTTAAGATGCCTAACCACTGTGAGAAAGAAAGAGGCCTGGAGGAGGTGAAGAAAGCAGAGGTGGGAAGATAAGAGTCTAAAGTCAGGGACAGAGTGAAATAAGTGAGCCACCAGGTGAGGTGCCCACTTGGATGATCCAGCTCCAGCCAAGCTCCAGGTTTGTTGGTGACTACAACAGATACCACTGGGGTAGAAGAACCGCCCGGCTAAGCCCTGCCAAATTCCTGAGCAGTAAAATGCTTGTTGTTTTGCGCCACTCTGGGTGGTCAGTCCCGGAGACAGATAATCCAAACAACAGTCACACTGTTCATAACAGAAAAACTGAAAGCAAACCATCTCCCCAGAGGGACTGGCTAGAAAACCATGCCACATGCATGCCAGGACAGCACAGCACAGCTGCTCAAAGGGGAAATAGGGTACGAGAAAAAAGGTGGTGTAAAACCAAAAGTGTACTATGTGTATTTCTGGGGAAATAAAACATTAAAATCAATGCAAAAAGAAATGG